ACTTTGTTTGCTAGAGATGAGATTCAAGGATGATGAGAATCTTCAGGGACTCAAAAATGCAGATACAGTGGACCCTCGGGTGGGTTGCGAACGAGGCAAACCCATAAGTGTATACTTCCAAGAAGGGAGCTGGGAAGGCGTTTCGGATAGGCTAGGGAAAGCGCCTTGGCCTGGCACTCCGCACATGCTCAGAGGCACTCTTCTCCTTGGTTTTTATTTTTCCAAAGCTCTTTTTTCAGAGGAGGAAAAGCCCTGAGGAGAGCAACAGTGTGCCGGTGCGGCCTAGCTAAAAGCCTGAGGTGCGTTAAAGGGAAAGGAATTGAGGAGAAATCGCATCTGGGCAGGCAGGAGGTCTCTTGGGCCATCACTTAAAAAGGGGCATTGAGAGAAATGGATTTAATATGTAAGATTAAAAAATGAATGAGTATACTGTACAAACAAAATAGGAATACTGTATTGTAATTGAATTCCTCAGTGGCCACAAAGAATGGGGTCTTTAATGCAGCAGCACTTAGGTTGTGCAATTCATTGCATTTGTATACTAGGGAAGTTTCTGTGCCTGATTTTAGATGCCATGTTAAAGAATATTGTGACCTATTTTTATGTTCTGATATTTGCCTCTTTGTTTATCTTTAAATTTCGTCTCTTAGGTTGATTTTATTAAGTATGCTGCCTTGAGAAGGTTTTGTTGTTAAAAGGGCAATGTAGAAATTAACATAGAAACAAATAAAAACATATCAGGTAAAATCTGTGCCCACATCCTGGCAGCCTTTAATCCTCTGGCTGCTCGACTGTCCCAGGGAAGCAGAGTGTTCTTTCCTACAGTGGAGGAGAGGAGCACCGTCCCCATGCGGCGGTGGCCCAAAGGCCCATAATAAATGTGCTAATGTGTACCCCCATGAATCCTCGAGTGTGCTTCTAATAGAGAAGTTATTGTAGCCTATTATTTTATGAAACTGATGATTCTGCAAGTTGCCGCCGCCCCCCCACTGGGGCAGAAATACAGCTCATGAGCTAGAACATAAGTTGCTCCATGGTGCAAATGGCTACGCGTAAAACAGCTTCCCAACATGCCTACTAACACAATGTAAGAGAAATCAGAACTTTAACAGACAGCGGTGGGAAGCAGAACTGAATCAGCAGAAATTGCTAACGCTTATTGCACATGTGTATTAAACATGAAGGGGGACGCGGGTGGCGCTGTGGGTAAAAGCCTCAGCACCTAGGGCTTGCCGATCGAAAGGTCGGCGGTTCGAATCCCCGTGGCGGGGTGCGCTCCCGTCGCTCGGTCCCTGCTCCTGCCAACCTAGCAGTTCGAAAGCACCCTTCGGGTGCAAGTAGATAAATAGGGACTGCTTAATAGCGGGAAGGTAAACGGCGTTTCCGTGTGCGGCTCTGGCTCGCCAGAGCAGCGATGTCATGCTGGCTACGTGACCCGGAAGTGTCTGCGGACAGCGCTGGCCCCCGGCCTCTTGAGTGAGATGGGCGCACAACCCTAGAGTCGGACACGACTGGCCCGTATGGGCAGGGGTACCTTTACCTTTATTAAACATGAAATGAGGTAATGATGTATATGATTGGTGGGAACTGAAATGCTTTTTAAAAAATTTATAAATACCCGTGCCTGGACCCCAGGCTCCTCTCTGTCCATTGTTCTGCCTAGAGGGTGCCTTTCTCCAGTGGGGGGTCCGCCATCCCCGGGAGAAGGAATGGACTCAGGCCCAAAAGGATCAGGCTGCTTCCAGTCTCTGGAAGCCTCTCGGAGCCTGCCAATGCCTGACCTCCAGGCCTGAGGGGCAGAATTCTCCTCAGCCAGAGGCCGCTCTGTATGTATTTTTTCTTCTGCATACCAAGAAAAAATAACAGAAACGTTGAAGAACAAGCTACTTAAACATACAAAAAATTAAAATTACCTACACCCATGTGACTTCCTCTGGGTTTTTTCCTATAGAGATTTTGAGCATCTTTTAAAATTCCTCATGAATGCAAGCCCTTCAGAAGCAAAGCAGTTTAGGCAGTTACAGCGAGAGCAGCTTCTGCAGAAGTCTCTTGGCGGAACAATGGCAGAACCCTCTTATTCCAGGCCCCACTTATACCTACCCCCAAAACCCAAACCATCCCTCCATGCCCCCCAAACCACCTGCCCACCCCACCTCTCGGGTTCCTGTCCCCCACATCCCAAAACTATTCCTTCCCACCCAGCCAAAACCCATAATTCATACCCCACGTTTCCACCCTCCGCACCTCTCGAAAACCCCCCTGCTCCCCCGACGACCGCCCCTTATAATTAAGCCCTCTCTCCCACTTAAACCCAGCATTATCCTTCTGATCCCACTCCAAAACCTGCCTTCTTCCTCCTTGTCCCCCTCTCCCTCCCCCCCTGAAACCCTCCCCACACCTGCCTCCCTCGCCGAATATGCCCCCTCCCCCGAGTCCCCCTCAGACCTTGTCCCCCTCCTCTGCTCCCTCTCCCTTCAGCCCACCCCCGAATATGCCCCCCTGAAACCCTCCCTAAATATGCCCCTTCCCCCCTGAAACTTTCCCAAAATATGTACCCTTCCAGACTATGTCCCCTCCCCCCTGAAACTTTCCCCAAATATGCCCCCCTTAATCCTTCCCTGAGTATGCCCCTCCCCCTCTTAATCCCTCCTTGAAGCTGCCCCCTCCCCCCTAAATCCCTCCCTGAAACGATCCTGCAGTATGTCCCCCGCCCCGCCCCGTAAGAGACCCTTCTTTGCCCCCCTCCCAGCTCTGCCCTCTCCCTCCTATACGCCCCTCCCCCCTTAATCCCTCCCTGATGTTGTCCCCTCCCCCCCTCAATCCTTCCCTATCCTGCAGTATGTCCCCTTCCCACCCCTGTAAGAGACCCTTCTTTGCCCCCCTCCCAGCTCCGCCTTAAGGTCCGTATAGTTAAAGCCATGGTTTTCCCAGTAGTGATGTATGGAAGTGAGAGCTGGACCATCAAGAAGGCTGATCGCCCAAGAATTGATGCTTTGAATTATGGTGCTGGAGGAGACTCTTGAGAGTCCCATGGACTGCAAGAAGATCAAACGTATCCATTCTTAAGGAAATCAGCCCTGAGTGCTCACTGGAAGGACAGATCCTGAAGCTGAGGCTCCAATACTTTGGCCACCTCATGAGAAGAGAAGACTCCCTGGAGAAGACACTGATGCACAAGGAGAAGGGGGCGACAGAGGACGAGATGGTTGGATAGTGTTTTCAAGGTTACCAGCATGTGTTTGACCGAACTGCGGGTGGTAGTGGAGGACAGAGGTGCCTGGCGTCCATGGGGTCACAAAAAGTCAGACACGGCTAAACGACTAAACAACAACAACAACAGCTCCGCCTTTGCCCCTGATACTCCAGAACACTGGCACAAGTATGACTAGCCAAAATTTCCTGCATGGTCCTCTGCCCAAGCCTGGCAGGAAGGAAGAAGGGAGGCTGGAAGGGCGGCTCAGTCGGGCGCTCAACTAGCGGCCTCGTTGTGCCAAGCAAGCGGGGCCATGGCAGGGTTGGCGGGGCCCCTGAGGGCCGCCTGGTGGAGACAGGCCGAGGCGGCGGCTGAGGCAACGGCAGCTGTTCGAGATCCCCCTGGGAATGAGCTGCACATGGATCTGAGCAAGGAGGAGGAGGAGGAGGCAACCGGCCCCTGCGACAAGGACGGGGCCAGCATTGAGGAGGAGAGGAGACAAGTGACTTCTGCATGTGTCTTATGGGGCTCTTTTGCCCCCCCCCTGAAGAAAGCTCCTCCAGCGTCTTCCCCCAGACTAGCCCGGCGTCGTCGTCGTGTTGCCCTGCCTCTTGGCCCTGTGGATGCTGCCTGACCAGCTGGTGCCTCCAGACTCCCAAGGGTGCTGCCAGCCAGTCCCTTGGCCCACCTGCAGGCTTGGGCACCCCTGCAGCACTGGAAACTTGGTCTGGCAAGATGCACTTGCCTGTTCCAAGTGGCGTCAAGGGAAATGCCCTCTGTTCATCTGCAGCAGCAGCAGCAGCCATGGTGGGGAGGCTTCCCCTGTCTGGGTTTGGGGCTGTGCCTCTCTTTCCTCAGGACGCTGGACCCTCTCAGACTGACCCTCCCTGGAGATTTGTCTGCCAGTTTCCAGCGTCTGGGGGCCCCTTTTTGCCCCAGAGTTGGCCTCTGCTGACTTCCAGATGCTACAACCTGCTAAAGACTGCACAACATGCAGAAGCTGGATTTCCTGAGGGTGGCATCTCCCCCTCCCTTGCTTTTGACCGCAAAAGACATTGGTGCCGAGTGTCCTGGACTGGCAGAAGTCAGGGTTTGGGCACCTTGGTGGTTTGGCTGCTTTGCTTTTCCCCAAGGGCTCATGGAGTTTTATTTTTATCTTCCGGCCCAAACCTCTGGGCTCGTGTCTCCCCTGCCCACCCTCCCTGCACCCTTTCCGATGCCAGCCTCCTTCCACCAGATGCCCACCTCTTCCTCCTTTCAGGCTCCACTCTGTAGCCCAACGGAGTCATTTCTGGGTTGAGAGGAAGGAGCGCTTGGTACCTCCTCTGCTCAAGAGCTGAAGGAACATTGGTCTTTTCTGCAATCTTGTGATCTGATTCCAGAGGGCTATGGCTGTAGGGGCCTCTATCCCTTGGCTTCTCATCTGGCCAAAATTACTCCAGGCCCACCATATGGAGCAACCTGCCAAGAACAAGAGGCCTGGTCCCCTGTTCGCCCCCCCCCCCCCAAGGTTGGCTTGAGAAGTAGCCTGCCTTTGGTCCCCTTGAGGCTTCCTCGCTGCTGTTTCCCGCTGCTTCCCTTGCCCCTGTGCTAGGCAGCAAGGGATTTTGGAGCACCCCTTGGCCTCTTTCCCTTTAGATCCACTGGCTTGTTTGCCACCTCCTGTTTAACTCTGTTGCCTAGCAATTTTATTATAAAATTTTATTATAAAAAAATAAAAAAATTCTTGTTAGCTCTTGAGAGTCTTGTTAGCTGTAGAGAACTTCTTGCTCCTTTTTGTCCAGAGATCATTTGCTGTGACATTTTGGGGTCTTGCTTCAAGTGTGTGGGTTTTCTCTTCTTTGTCTTCCTCCGATGCTGAGGTCCTCTGCAGTAATGAGCACAAGGAAAAGCTTAGCATTAACTACAGGGGCTGTAATGGGCCCTTTGTTTATCCTCATCAGTAGCTGAAACAAGAGAGCTAATGTGGTGTAGTGCAGGACTGGGCAACAGTTTTGGCCTGGCAGGCCAAATCTTGATCTCTCCATAATGATGCCAGGTGATTGACAAGTGGGTGAAGCAAGGAACTGATGCATAGGGACTTCTTTCCAGCCCCGGGCATGGCATCTACCCCACATCTAACACCACAGATTATGTCAGATGTGGGGTAGGTGGGTGTGGCTTGGAGAATACAGCCTTGCAGTTAAAATGGAGAGTTCTACCTTACCAAATCTGACCCACAGGATGGAGGTTCCCCACTTTTGTTGCAGAGGTTGGAGTGTTGATCTGGACTCATGTTCAAATCCCCACTTAGCTCCCTAGGCAATATTGAGCCAGTAGGTATCTCTCAGTCTAACTTTTACCTCACAGTTTTTTGGTGAAAGTAAATGGCAGGGGGAAGAACATGTTTGTCACTTGGAGATCCTTGGAAGAAGGGCAGAAGATAAATAAATAAAATAAATGATTTATTAAATAAATAAATAAATAAATAAATAAATAAATAAAAACAGCCCATTGAATCTTTCCATTATCTTGGATGGCAAACAGTAGGAGAAGAGTTTTCCATTCTTCCCTTCCAGCCCCTTCTCTCTATGAACTGAACCCAAAGATTTTCATACTTAAAGCAGACCCTTTGAAAGTGGAATTTAAATTAGCCTGGATCTAGTTTGTAGCAGGCCTGGGTTTAAACTACACAGGTCTTTCACAATGATAGCTAGTTGAGCTTTTATATCTGACTCCCTCTAGAAACGCCATTCCATACTATACAAAGTTGAACAACAATATAAGCAGCATAGGGTACCTACCATGTTTTCAGGAACAGACATTGCAGCTGGTGTGGCCAGGATTACTGGTACACTGAAGCAACCGAACTGGCCTGTTACAAGACATAAGAAATACACTAGCAACTTCATTTGCATTTAGTGGCTGTTTCAGTCAAAGACAGTGCTGAAGAGCACAGGTGCCATTTAATAAAATAATTACTTAAATAATCTCAGATATCCCTGTCTTTCTGTCTTCACAACATGAGGGCTATTCCATTGTTTCATATAACAGAATAAACCAGGGGTCGGAAAACTATGGCCCCTGGGCCACATCTGCCCTGGGGGTGGTCGTTTAACTAGCCCCTCCCACTCAGTCCCCGCACAGAGGTAAGCTGGCGCAGCGTGGTGCCGGCTTGCCGTGTGGGGACTGACTTCTGTGACACAGCCACGGCTTCCCATTGGCTGCAGGAAGCTCCTGCAGCCAATAGGAAGCTGCGGACACCTCCTCCACCGCCACCTCTGGCAAGAAGGAAACCGGGATGTGCGCATGTGCGCCCGCCCACACCCATGCGCCTACTCCGGCCTGCCCCAAGGTTTCGGGGGCAGTTTACCGGCCCCAGGCTTTGCAGCTTTGCCGGCCCCTGGAATAAACTGTGAACCACAGTTTCAGAAAGCTTTCATTGCCCTATCAGGCTGGAAAGTTAACTATCTGCCCAGGTTGGGCCAAAGGTGCTGCTCTGCTTTCCTTTGGGCCACATCAGCAAGGATGAGAGGGAGGTCTGGTCCTCACGGCAGCTCAGAACCTCCATCAACACTGCCCCAGCTTGCACTCTGGGGAGGTCACTTTGGTGCCGCTACTGCAGCAAAAAACAGGCTGGGCTGCAGAAGCACCAAGGGCTAACACTCAGCTCTTACAGAGGAATCAAAGCTTTTCCGAACTGAAACGCCCTACTGAAACGTCTCCTTTAAGAAATTAAGCAGTTATGACACTATTCCATCTCTAGATTCTTATTTGCATAAAGGCCATACTTTGAATTTCAAAGGATGAAAAAACCTCCCCCCTCCCCCCCCCTGGAACAACTAGGGTAAAGGGCAGAAAGGCTCACCTTTCTGAGAGCTGGACCCCATTTTTTGGGGTAGACTCCCCACCCTCCCCTTATATCCAAGTGAATGGGGATGTGTGATTTATGCCCCTCCATCACATCTAATTTTGCCTTCGCTGTTTAAAAACATGTTGATAACCTGGTACACAAAATTACCTGTAATTATCTTCACAAGAGACACTTATCTTTCGGCTTTCCAGGATAGCTTTCAGCTTTAAAATGGATTGGCCCGTGCAAGTTTCACTGGAAATAAAAGCAATCACATTTCCATTCAGAATGAAATTTGTATGTCCGTCGGTCCTGTAATGTTTACAAATTAACTGTCTACAGGAACTAGTAAAAGCATTTTAAGAGAAGGAAAGTGCATCTGTCCTTGCTGCATGACCCATAAAAGTTCTTGAGAGCTCCAGAGTCTTCATTTCCTCTGACATGTTCTTCCTCATACAAATAAAATCACATGAATGGGTAGGCTCAGGCTAGCTGCCATGTCCCTGGGGGCTACATGCTGGGGGAATGTCTGCAACAAGGAAGCCTGCTCAACTTGCATAGACTCTCTGGGTGATCTGGATCCTAACTGTACAAGTTTCTAGACAAGAAGGAAAGCCTGAGGGCACTTAGAAGTCTTCCCCACGGCAGATATATTCCACCAGTGTGTGGACAGCTAAGGAATGAGCCAAGCAGGAGATAGCGGCAGCAGGTGCAGGCAGATAGCGTAGCCCAGCTCTGCCCCCTCCTGCAGTTGTTAATCACAAGAAACACTTCAACGGGGGAGAGGGCTAAGGGGATATAAAAATCGAAATCCCTCCCTCAGTATGCCATAATATCCAGATTCCAGAATAACTGTTTATTTAAAAAGTGCTGAACCAATTAAAAAGGCATAGGAAAGTAGTGAGTTTGGGAATTGTAAGGAACTTCTGCTGCTCTGAAGGGAGTAGAATAATTTAATCTCCCGACATTCTTGAATAACTATTCCAACTATACACTGAAGTATAGCTGACAGTAAGCACTAACAGCTACTACAAACACACTTCTCTTTTGCCCGGCAAAATCCCACTATTGACAGCTGAATCGGAGCAAACGGCATTCCAGGGGAAACCCAAATTGCTATTTGCTCCGATTGAGTGGTAAAGATCAGGTTTTCCTGGGGGAAGCGCCAGGGAAGAAGAAATGCGCTCAGAAACAGACCAGAAAAGCGCAGGGCAAACGGTAAGAGCTACACTTGCAAAACATTTCTGAGCATTGCATGCAGAGCGCTGCAAAGCTCTCTAAATGAAATGTTACTGAAATGGTACAATATTATATTGTATGAAAAATCTCAAATTATTATTAAACTGAGACACTGTTGCTATCTGCTCCTTTCTCTCTCAACTATTGCCCTCTAGCATTTTCTCTTTTCAGCTGTCCCTTTCTTTCTCTTTTTTCCCTCAGTCTCATAATTTTCATTCATTTCTCTTCCTCTTCATTCTCGGTAGTTGCGCCCACCCTGTGAAACACCCTCCTGTCAGATGTCAAGGAAATAAACAACTACCTGACTTTTAGAAGACATCTGAAGGGAGCTTTTTAATGTTTGATGTCGCCCTGAGTGGCTGGGAGAACCCAGTCAGATGAGCGATATATTAATAATAATAAAAGGGGAAGAAATGGAGGCAGTGAGAGATTTTACTTTCTTGGGCTCCATGATCACTGCTGATGGTGACAGCATCAAAAAATTAAAAGACACCTGCTTCTTGGGAGAAAAGAAGAAGAAGAAGAAGAAGAGGAGGAGTTGATATCCCGCTTTATCACTACCCGAAGGAGTCTCAAAGCGGCTAACATTCTCCTTTCCCTTCCTCCCCCACAACAAACACTCTGTGAGGTGAGTGGGGCTGAGAGACTTCATGCAGCTGCATGTGGAGGAGCGGAGACGCGAACCCGGTTCCCCAGATTACGAGTCTCCCGCTGTTAACCACTACACCACACTGGCAAAGACAAACCTAGACAGCATCTTAAAAAGCAGAGTCATCACCTTGCCAACAAAGGTCCGTATAGTTAAAGCTATGGTTTTCCAAGTAGTGATGTATGGAAGTGAAAGTTGGACCGTAAAGAAGGCTGATTGCCGAAGAATTGATGCTTTTGAATTCTGGTGCTGGAGGAGACTCTTGGAGACTGCAAGAAGATCAAACCTCTCCATTCTGAAGGAAATCAGCCCTGAAGGACAGATCCTGAAGCTGAGGCTCCAATATTTTGGCCACCTCATGAGAAGAGAAGACTCCCTGGAAAACCCCCTTATGTTGGGAAAGATGGAGGGCACAAGGAGAAGGGGACGACAGAGGACGGGATGGTTGGACAGTGTTCTTGAAGGTGCCAGCATGAGTTTGACCAAACTGCGGGAGGCAGTGGAAGACTGGAGTGCCTGGCATGCTCTGGTCCATGGGGTCACGAAGAGTCGGACACCACTAAACAACTAAACAACTACTACTACTACTAATAATAATAATAATAATGTAGGTCACTGATGCGCACACTTTTTATCTACCCTTAGAAACTCATCCACCTCCCTCAAGTATAAAAACAAAATCCATTTGTGTGATGCAGATGTCCTCTACTGGCAAGAGGCAGCACTGCAACCAAAGCCATTAACTTCTCCCGAGTATGTACAGGTACATGATAGACAGGCAAACATTAGAGAGAGAGAATAGTTCTAGAAAGACAAGAGAGGCGTTATTTCTCCTGATCGCCAACTTTTTCTTCTTTTGTGGCATATTCATCTCTTACTGAACAGGCTTTTGCAGTGCTTTTTTCCTTTAAAACAAGGTTTAGGGGTATTCTCATTTACTACTCATATTGAAATACTGCCCCTCACTGAGACCAAATTTAGATTCACAAAATGTTTAGGGGTATGTGTACCCCTGCGTCCCCCCAGAAGAAAAGTGATGGGTTTTTGAAAACACCAGACAAAACTGTGAACAGAGATGAGCCATTGTCCTCAGTTCATTGAGGACCCCACAGTGCCCTTTTCAACTCTTTGGGTAAATGTGCACTGCAGACTTGAACAGGTACTCTTTCTGTCTCTCCAGGTAACACTTCAAATTGTAGGTCTGGGAGTGAGGAAGCCTAAGGATGTCACACAACACCCATTTCACACTGGGTTCTTCATGGAAATTCATGACATTAAACTGATAGAAGTTTTCAGTATCAAATTTGTCTCCAGCCAAAAGACAAAGGCTGTGCCAAAAATTGTGAGAAAAGAAAATATGCATGGTTTTTTTAATGTGGGATAGATTACATATAAAAGTACCAGATAAATTTTTTTTAAGTGCTTAATTTAACAACAGCAGCAGCCAAACCCCCTCCCTCCAAAAAACACCTTTAAAATGACTGCCTAAACTGAGCTTTTTCTGAGAAAGCAGAACAGTACTGCTAACAAAGAAGGACTCATTCTTGGAAAACCAGCATGTCTGTTGGATAAGGATATGCCATGTTGTAGTAGTCTGTTTCTAACTGAACCCTAGATATAGAGAGTTATTATATTCTGCATTATCAAAACATACCTTTTGTGGTCCATCAATGTCCTGCATAAGCCAAATCTGCATCTTGGAGACTTTATTCGGATTTAAGTTAACAACTTCAACACTGCCAAAAATGCTGAAAGAGCATAAGAAAAGAGCTCAGATGTTTACCAGCCTCAACAAAACATATCAGGTAAAAATCTTTATGGATGTTATTCATTGCCATTGCCTAGTGATTTCAGAAGATAAATATGTCTGTATGTATGATTTTGATTAATTACCCATCCTTCACTCTGAGGTGTTAGGGTGGATCACAACAATTTAAAGTACAATGTTAAAAACAGTTTAAAATGAAGTACAATCACAAGCCTAGGGAGAGTCCTTAAAATACATGTCTAAATTGTCAAAGGCCAGGATAAGGCCAATGAGCTATGTTAAGTTGACTCTTATTGACAGCAGTAAAGCTAGTTTGTTTATTATGAGTCTTTATTTACCTCTCCATCAATCAAGAGTAAGAACAACCTAGCTGGAAGCAGTGTGGCTGCCTTCTTAATCCACAATAATACCACGTCTATCAATTCACTTTGGGAACAACAGGAAGATATACACAGGCCTTGGGCAGCATATCACAATGACCTGGGCATGGATAGGCAGGCATTACAGTCAAGTGGGAAAATACCTGTTGTTTATGAATGCTCCAGCTTCTATGGACCCATTAAGCATCACTTGAGTTATACCACAGGCTGCTTCTGCAAACTAAAACATATTTGAAAACATAGTTTAATGTAACAAGAGAACCTGCTCAATACCTTGTACCCACTTACAGTTTTGACCTTTCAACAGTCACCAATTTTATGAGTTTGCCTAAGTGAAGAAAAGATTGCCCAGGTTCTGCAAAATGCCCAACCATACTGGGGGAGCCAATAGAGTGCCTTCTAAATTTTGTTGGACTACAACTCCCATCTTCCCTGACCATTTGCTGTGCTGGCAGAGGCTGGCGAGAGAATTGTGATTCAACAGCATCTTGGCGGCACCAACCTGGCTATCCCTGGGTTAAGGGATACGATTTCGTTTTATTAGCCATTGGTTTTAATTCAATTGTGTATTAGTGAAGCATAATATATATTTCAGTATCGCTAACCTGGGTTGCATAGAACATACCATCTTGGACGACATTTTCCAGTACATTGAACTAGGGTTATTCTCACACTCAGTCCATTCGGGGCAAGATTCGTAGTTGACTCCTATAATAAATACAGTTTGAGCATAAATACAAGACTGATATATTGTGCCCTATGAGAGGGGAGGGAAGAAGAACTAAGTTTTAATGCAATGCCTCTGCTACAACTGGAAAGTAAGAATTTTAGGGTCTCAAGTAGAAAATAAAAAGGTAAAGGTACCCCTGCCCGTACGGGCCAGTCTTGCCAGACTCTAGGGTTGTGCGCTCATCTCACTCTATAGGCCGGGAGCCAGCGCTGTCCGCAGACACTTCCGGGTCACGTGGCCAGCGTGACAAGCTGCATCTGGCGAGCCAGCGCAGCACACGGAACGCCGTTTACCTTCCCGCTAGTAAGCGGTCCCTATTTATCTACTTGCACCCGAAGGTGCTTTCGAACTGCTAGGTTGGCAGGCGCTGGGACCGAACGACGGGAGCGCACCCCGCCGCGGGGATTCGAACCGCCGACCTTTCGATCGGCAAGTCCTAGGCGCTGAGGCTTTAACCCACAGCGCCACCCCCGTCCCTCAAGTAGAAAATAAATGTTCATAAATGTACATGGCAAACACATACCAGTATGTAAGTATATGAACCACGTGTCTGAAATAGTTTTGACTCTCCCAAATTGACCTCAATATATTTCTCCTCAAGGAGGGAGGAAATGGGGGAAGCCTTCCCTTTGTCTTTTTGCTTACAAATCCTGTCTTAAGGGTGTATTTGTGTATGAATAGGGTGAGCCTGTGACCTGGATTCAGGAACTAAAAGTATTTACCATCACAAAAGAGTGGCCAGGCTGCCCAGGTAAAGCAATCAGTGACCATTAACAGATATCCTGGCAAACAGGATTTCTGCTGGAGACCGCCTCCTGTGAAGCATGTCTGATGTTTTGGGGGTTGGTCTTGGGCGCTGTGGGTTAAACCACAGAGCCTAGAAGACACAGGACATACCCAATCTGGAAGAATGGCAGATGAAGGTGATGGACTACATGGAATTGGCAGAAATGACTGGCAGAATCCGAGACCAGGGAGAAGAGACGGTGGAAGAAGACTGGAAGAAGTTTAAAGACTATCTACAGAAATATTGCAAAATTAATGAACGTTAGAATGATGTTGGATTGAAATTAAGTGGTTTCTAGCTGTAATGGTATAAAAGAATATGAAAAAATGTTTTTTTATAAGTAAAAATTTAATGTCATAATAATTTAAGATTAAAGATCAGGGTAAAATAAAGAGGGAAAGAAACTGCTGAACTAATAAATTGAATTGGGATACAAAAAAGGGAGGTATGAGGAGGTCCGGGAAACAAGTAAATGAAAGATAAGCGATGAAAAGATTGATTGTTTTTAACTATTTTTATTTTGTATTTTTTCTTTTATCTTTTTCATTTTGTAATATTGTAAAAACACTAATAAAAATTTATAAAAAAACAAAACAACCACAGAGCCTAGGACTTGCCGATCAGAAGGTGGGTGGTTCGAATCCCCATGACGGGGTGAGTTCCCGCTGCTCGGTCCCTGCTCCTGCCAACCTAGCAGTTCGAAAGCACGTCAAAGTGCAAGTAGATAAATAGGTACTGCTCCCGCGGGAAGGTAAACGCATTTCTGTGTGCTGCTCTGGTTCGCCAGAAGTGGCTTAGTCATGCTGGCCACATGACCCAGAAGCTGTACAACGGCTCCCTCGGCCAATAAAGCGAGATGAGCGCCACAACCCCAGAGTCGGCCATGACTGGACCTAATGGTCAGGGGTCCCTTTACCTTTACCTTGGGCTACAGGGTGGGCAATTTCAAAAGTCTATAGAAGAGTTTGCACACCATTGTTCTGGGTTCCTCCTCCCTCCTACATGTGGTAGCGAGCACCCTGTTGCAACAGTTTAATAAACAGTTTACTAGCTGCTTTGCTTCTCAATATTCCTTGGTTGGCCTCTGCTATTTTCTCCTACCGACAGGAAACCCACTTAAGGACTCTTTATAACAGTGCAATGCCTCCGCTACAACTGGAAAGTAGGGGTGAGGGTGAATTTGATGTCTACACACCATATAGAGCATCTATTGTACATTATTTCTATTGCTTTGATTTCTTTTCTTTTATTCTGAAGTTGTATCTTTCAATCACTGGTTAACAATACATTATTATATCCTTTCTACTTCAAATCTTCTTAAAGGATACAATTCCTACCCTCCCCCATACCAGAAGGGGGGAACCCTAAATCTCTTTTTTTTTTTTGTAGAGAATAGGACACTCTTCTTACCTGGGCTGGAGGGGTCTCCACACCATGAGAGCCCATCTGCCATGTAGCCTAGTAAAGTGTCTTCCAATGTGAGGAAATCACGATTAGTTTTTGTGTAACGGTGTACAAGGTCTTTTGTCTTGCTCCAAAACAGCGACTGTAAGTAAAGTGTCAATATTGAATTCCTAGCTCTGACACATTTCCTGAACTATAACAGTAATATAACTCCTCCTCTTTCCATTTCTCTCCACAGTTTTCAGCTTTGGGCTTAAAGCTTTTGGATAAGAACCGTGGGACGTGGGTGGCGCTGTGGTTAAAAGCCTCAGCGCCTAGGGCTTGCCGATCGAAAGGTCGGCGGTTCGAATCCCCGCGGCGGGGTGCACTCCCGCTGCTCGGTCCCAGCGCCTGCCAACCTAGCAGTTCGAAAGCACCCCCGGGTGCAAGTAGATAAATAGGGACCGCTTACTAGCGGGAAGGTAAACGGCGTTCCGTGTGCTGCGCTGGCTCGCCAGATGCAGCTTGTCACGCTGGCCACGTGACCCGGAAGTGTCTCCGGACAGCGCTGGCCCCCGGCCTATAGAGTGAGATGGGCGCACAACCCTAGAGTCTGTCAAGACTGGCCCGTACGGGCAGGGGTACCTTTACCTTACCTTTACAGATAAGAACAAAAAGTCTTGGTAGTAAGAATGGGTAGGTTCTGTTGTTTTGTTTTTAATGCAATGTTTGCTCCACGAACTCCTGAGACCTCCCCCCTTTGCTCATTATCCAGTTATGCTTACATGTAGAGGGGGGTATCTTAATTTCTGCCAATTCCCCCTTCCAGTTTCAGGCCTTCCTGTGCTCTTCTAGATCTAATAAGTGGCTATTCTTTAGTAAAATCCATTCTTTCAACATAAATATAATTGTAAGTCAGGGAGAGCAAAACCGCCTCGCTCTTTGGTATCAATCATAATTTTATGTTTTATCCTGGATTTTCTCTCCTGCCAAATAAACTTAGAAAGCTCTTTCTGTCATTCCTTGAAGTTTCAAATGTCATTAACTATAGGTACTGTCTGGAATAGGATTAGTATTTGGGGACTATGTTCATTTTTCTAGCCGAAATTTTGTCCAGCAAAGACAATTGCATTCTACTCCAGATTTTCAGGTCTTTTTTATTTCTTTCCAAACCTTTATGAAGTTATCATTAAAGATGTGATTATTCGCCATTAACCAAATTCCCAGGTATTTCACTTTCTTTTCACTCTTTATATTACTAGTTCTTTCTAAGTGTTTTGTAAGGGGACAATCCATATTTTTGACTAACATTGCTGTTTTTTGTTTATTCAGTTTAAAGCCTGCTAGATTGCCAAATTCCCTTATATCTTCCAGTACTGCTGGTACACTTTCTAGTGGGTTTTCTAAGGTCAAAGAATATTATCTGCATATGCTTTTAACTTAGAATATTGCTGACCCACCCTTATACCTCTTCTTTTGTCATTCATTCTTATCTTTGTGCCAATACTTCTGAAATCAAAATAAACAATAATGGGGATAACGGGCAGCCTTGTCTGGTTCCTTTCATAACTGTATACCCATCAGATATAGTTTTATTTACAATAATATTTGCTCGTTGTTCAGTATATATTGCTTCTATAGCCTTTAAAAAATATTTTCCCCAAATCCATTTTCTTCAGGACTCTTTTCATAAATATCCAAGACACATTGTCAAATGCCTTCTCTGTGTCCAGAAATATCAATGCTGCCTGTTTTTCGTTATGCACTTCTAGGTATTCTATTATGTTTATATTATTCCTAACATTATCTTTTAATGGTCTGCTGGGGAGAAAGCCTGCTTGGTCCTCACATATTAAGTCACTCATAATTTTTTGAGTCTATTTGCTAATATTGTTGCAGATAACTTACAATTGCAGTTTAATAGCTATATCGGGCAGAGGTTTTGGGGATTTGTCACGTCTTTATCTTGGTTGGGTATCAAAGTGATATAAGCCTCCTTCCAAGTTTCTGGTGCTTGTACTGTTTCTAACACTTTGTTCATAATATATTTTAGGTATAGGCCTAACTCATCCTGAAACTTTTTATAGTACTCCACCAGGAGCCCATCTGGTCCCGGGGCTTTCCCAGATTTTCCCTGGCTTATCACCTGATGTATTGGCGCATTTAATAGCTCTGCACTTACTCTCAAAATATTACCCAATTTACTTCGCTCTATATAATTCTCTATAAGTTTAAAGTCTTCTTTCTCTCTTTTATACACATCTATGTAAAAGGTAAAGGGACCCCTGGCCATTAGGTCCAGTCATGACCGACTCTGGGATTACGGTGCTCATCTCGCTTTACTGGCCGAGGGAGCCGACATACAGCTTCCGGGTCATGTGGCTGCTTCTGGCGAACCAGAGCAGCGCATGGAAATGCCGTTTACCTTCCCGCCGGAGCGGTACCTATTTATCTACTTGCACTTTGACGTGCTTTCGAACTGCTAGGGAGGCAGGAGCAGGGACTGACCAATGGGAGCTCACCCCGTCGCAGGGATTCGAACCGCCGACCTTCTGATCGGCAAGTCCTAGGCTCTGTGGTTTAACCCACAGCACCACCCGTGTCCCAACACCTCACAAATTCCTGTCTGATTTCTTTTGGATTGTTTATGTGTACTCCATCCTTCATCAGCTCATTAATTAACCTTTGTCTACTCTCTTTTTAAAGTTACCATGCCAGTAACTTCCCTGGTTTATTTGCAAATTCAAAATTCCTTTGTTTTACAAACTTAATTTTCCTTTCTATTTATTGGTTTACAAGCATTGAATATTGTGTCTGTAATAAATTAATCTCTTGAAGTTTCTCTTTATTTCCTGCGTCTGTAACCAATTCTTTCTCTTTTTTTATTAATTTGTCAGATAGTTCCAATTTCTTACATTCCCTTACTTTCCTCTGGTATGCACAGTTCTGAATAAAATCACCTCTTAAAACTGCCAAACTTGCATCCCAAACAGTTTTTAAGTCAACATCTTGATTACAATTTAATTCAAAATATTCTTTAATAATTTTCTTGAGAAATTAACAAGCACAAAATAACTACCTTGTTACATGGGATGGATTGTCTGGCCAGGTCCATCAGAGGCTGGAAATCTTCCTCTGTCGCCCTGCATGGATGCTTGTACATAAAGGCATTTTGAAATAGCTCCCAAATTTTGAGGCAGTCTTTGTCTCTGTAGAACAAACACACACACAGGGGTCTTTGAGAATGGCTGCTGTTCAGCCTGACACTATTAAATGTGAATTGTACAAAATAGTATTTGGATAGTGAGAAAGCACTCCTAATTCCTAAGCATAATGGAAGTCTGACAACCTGCCTTTCCCTCTCCTGAACAGCCCAAGAAATGTACTTCTGATTAAGAGGATTACTTCAACTAAAAGCAGTAGTCATAGTAAACTATGAGCACAACAGTAAGCTAACCAACATGCTTGAGTCTCATTAATTTCTCTTTCAACTGTGGAGGTGGAAGTTATATTGAAATTAATGCCGCTTTATCTGGAGGCTGGGATGCAGGTGGCGCTGTGGGTTAAACCACAGAGCCTAGGACTTGCCGATCAGAAGGTCAGCAGTTCGAATCCCCGTGACGGAGTGAGCTCCCGTTGCTCGGTCCCTACTCCTGCCAACCTAGCAGTTCGAAAGCATGTAAAGTGCAAGTAGATAAATAGGTACCACTCTGGCGGGAAGGTAAACGGCGTTTCCGTGCGCTGCTCTGGTTCGCCAGAAGCAGCTTAGTCATGCTGGCCACCTGACCTAGAAGCTGTACACCGGCTCCCTTGGCCAATAAAATGAGATGAGCACCGCAACCCCAGAGTCGGCCATGACTGGACCTAATGGTCAGGGGTCCTTTTACCTTTATCTGGAGGCTGATATTCAGAGCAACAGTGAGAAACATACACTGTACCAACAGAGACAGAATAGGGCACATTTGCTTGCTGTGGGGCAACATTTCAAGCGGAGACATGCCATCATTGGGCAAAGGTGGGCAGCAACAGATGTTCCTTGGGGTCAATGAGAAACGCTCTTGCCCTTAAAATACTAGACCTGGCTTCTGTGAAAACATACTGGGGAGTGTACCCTGCAGACCCCATAATGAAGGAGCACTTCTTTTTGTCTGAGAACCTCTGCTATAGAGAATCCTACACCACCTGTATAATATTTGATGGGGGTGTCTAACCAGGTAAGTTACAGGCTTACCTATTTTGACCCAAGGCTCATATTCACCCTTGACGAACCCTCCACACCAGTGATGGGTTTGGCCAAAAGTAGGCTTTGCCCCCTTGTACACAACACACAGGCCCTCCCGGAATCTGCTGATGCAATTCTGCACAAAGCAGCCAAAAAGGACATCTCCTCCACCCTGACTCCAGGTCATAATGCATCTTGATAAGAGATAACTAGTTAATCGGATAACAAGGGAGAGGACAATTTGCATCTTTATCAGGGTACTGGGCTGGGTAGAGAAGTTTAAACTTTACTACTGCCCCAGAACCATTCAGATTAATGATGATGATGTTTAGTTTTTTATATATAAAAAACCATCACCAAAATAGATGCAGTCTGACAGGGCAGAATCTTTCTGGGGGAGGGCTGAATTATTGCTTTTTGCATTGTTGGGGAACTGCAACAGGAAAAGGCAACTATTTGTTTTTTCTGTGTACAGTGGGTTACATACGCTTCAGGTTACATACACTTCAAGTTACAGACTCCGCTAACCCAGAAATATTACCTCGGGTTAAGAACTTTGCTTCAGGATGAGGACAGAAATCGTGCTCCGCCGGCGCGGCGGCAGCAGGAGGCCCCATTGGCTAAAGTGGTGCCTCAGGTTAAGAACAGTTTCAGGTTAAGTACGGACCTCCAGAACGAATTAAGTACGTAACCAGAGGTACCACTGTAGTTAGAGAAGTAAGAACCGTAAAAACTCCCCAAACCTTTTGCAGCTTGAGCTCTCTTTATCTTCCTATGAAAGTGTAAATCAGTGTGAAATACAGCCACCATTTGGAAGAGAGAGAGAGAGATACACCGAAAGCAACATTTGTAGCAGCATAGTTAAAAAGCAGAGACATCACCTTGCGGACAAAGGTCCGTATCGTTAAAGCCATGGTTTTCCCAGTAGTGATGTATGGAAGTGAGAGCTGGACCATCAAGAAGGCTGATCGCCCAAGAATGGATGCTTTTGAATTCTGGTGCTGGAGGAGACTCTTGAGAGTCCCATGGACTGCAAGAAGATCAAACCTCTCCATTCTGAAGGAAATCAGCCCTGAGTGCTCACTGGAAGGACAGATCCTGAAGCTGAGGCTCCAATACTTTGGCCACCTCATGAGAAGAGAAGACTCCCTGGAAAAGACCCTGATGTTGGGAAAGATGGAGGGCACAAGGAGAAGGGGACGACAGAGGATGAGATGGTTGGATAGTGTTCTCGAAGCTACCAGCATGAGTTTGACCAAACTGCGGGAGGCAGTGGAAGACAGGAGTGCCTGGCGTGCTCTGGTCCAGGGGGTCACGAAGAGGCGGACACGACTAAACGACTAAACAACAACAACAAGTTAAAACTAGCACTGTGTTCTCTCCCCCCACTGCAAAGTATCCTCCATCAATTAATAAGAACAGAAATTGCATTTGATCATTATCAAAAGGAAAAGAACATTTTGGTGAAATTCTCATGGGGGGTGGGGTGTAGGGGTTTTGCTGTGAATACCTTACTTTTGAGGTGGCCAAGGGGCATTTGTGGATGTCTTTGCACTAATTTTACAAAATAATTTCTCCCATCTTTCCACATTTCAGTTGAACCTTCAGGAAAGACATCATGAGTTATTCTCTCCCATGAAGCTTTTCCAGATTAGGAAATGCAAGCAGCCAGAGAGAGACGGAAGTACAGAAGAAATGTTTGCTGGGAAACACAAACACACCCCATCCTCAGCCACCTGACAATGAAGGTGTGGTTATCTTTATGGAACAACCCCACTGAAAAAGGTAACAGTGGTTACCCAGACCTCATTGCTGGTTGCAAAGCGGCCCCCATAACCAGTTCAAGCTTCAGGGCCCCCCAAATGTAGGTCCACCACTGAACAAAGCTAACTGGTGGTGTACAAATTATGCAAGTCTACTGACTCCAGTCATCATCCAAGGTCAGGATGTGCGAGGAGAGCCTTTTATGTATTCTCACAACTGGCTGTGCGAGGCTGTGGAACTCCCTGCTCCATGAGATCCCCCTGATGGAGATCCATTGCTGGTTAAAGAGCTTTCTGATTCAGCACCAGTAGGCTTATTGCTTGTTCAGGCTTGAATTTATAGGTCAGGATCCTCTTTGTATTATTTTATCTGCTGTCCCTACTTTGCATTTTATGTAGCCAGTGGTCAAAGTGTTGAACTCGGTTCAAATTCCAACTCAGCCAGGAAGTTAACTGGATGACTTTTCTCCAGTCACTATGGCTGTGTACACATTCACATTTACACACTCCCAAGCTATGTACACATGATGCTAGCCACAATCCCCCTCTGTCCTGTAGCTTCTTGAGAAATGCTGAGTTTGGATGCATTCCCCCACAAACCAGTCTTGATTCCATTTGAAAAGGTAGACTGTATGAAGACGCCCATGTCCGCTGTCTGACCTCTGGTGTGGGCAGACAGTAGGCAACTTGGAAACAAATCTTACCACACCAATGTGCATGACGACATGCAAATACGACATGAAGTGTAGTGGAGGGCGGTGGGACAACCTCTCTGCATTTTAAACCCGTATTGTGTATACAGCCTCTCTGTCTAGCCCAACGCAGGATTAACTGGAAGAGGAGCATGTAGGAAAGCAGGTAGAAAAAGGTTTTGTTTAAAATTTGTTCGGTTTAAAATTGTGGGTCTGTTTCCTTTCATATGGAAAGATGGATACAACATTAAGCCGGGCTCTTACTAAAGTGCCTGTGGCAATATGTTTTTCACATCACAGATGTTTGAGGGAAAGGTCCTTATACTGTAGTTTTTTGTAATGTTTCTCTTTGTTTTCCATTTATGCCTGTTTGGACTCTTATCTATGGAGCTTGTTTGCACAAAATTACTGTAATTTCAAATGAGCCTGTCAGAGGCTTTATGCTGTCCAGCTGGCATAGATAAAACTCCGGGCTCACGGCCAGTTCCAATCTATTTGATTTATTGACAAAGTTCAAAGGTACATCTCCAGCGTTTCAATTTACGTCCGTCTCTTTTGGCACAGTTGCCGCGTCTACTTTTTCCTTTTCTTTACCCAGCATGCAAGTCTGCGGAAACCCCTCCCCTGCCTTCCTCTGTGTACAGAATGACTTGTTCCAGGCTCATCTTCCTCCCTCCCTGTGTCAGACGACAGGCTGCTAATGATCTCTTTAGGCTCTCTATAAGTACTGGTTTCTGTTCTTGAATCTTTTCCCATTTGCCTCTCCCTGACAGAGCCGTCTTCAGCCAGAAAGAGAAAAGGGAAGGTCCAGTTGTTACCAGCAGGAGTCTTGGCTTCTGCGCTCTCTCCCCTCCCTTGGGAACTTGAGGGACGGAAATGCGAAGCTTCTGTTCTTGATTCAGAAGGTGGGTGGCTAACCTAATTTGGGCTGGGGGCTGCATCGACCCATAGTGCACCCTCTGGAGGCTAAAGTGCAATAGTGGGGGTAGTCAAAATGCAGTTCTCAAGTGTGCCTTCCCAAAGACTTTCCCATCAGCTATTCTGCACCATTTTTCATCATCTTAATTCATGATTAAATTCAGTAAAAATAAAATCAACAAATGATTATTGCAGGGTCTGGGCCAGGGAAAGGAGGTCCTGAGCCATTTATTGGGTCCTGAGCCATTTAAGGCTTTATAGGGCAAACCCCAGCGCTTTGCACTGGGCCCAGAAACCAACTGGCAGCCAATGCAGTCTGATCAGGATTGATGTTACATGCTCAAACTGTCTTGCTCTGGCTGCTGAATTCTACACCAGCTGAAATTTCCAAACCGTCTTCAGTAGAGGTTACCAGAGCATAGGTGACAAAGGTTGGGCTATCTCTGTCCAGCTGGGGCACAGCTGGGCTGCCAGCCGCAGCTGATGGATAGCACCCCACACCACCGAGGCCAGGATCCAGGAGCACCCCCAAGCTACATACCTGCTCCTTCAGAGGAAGCGTAACCCCATCAAGAGCAGGCCACCTCCCAGCCATCTGGTCTAAGGAACCACCC